TCACGTAGAGCGGCTACCTCACCGCGTAATGTAGACACCTTAACACGCCATGCACCATCGTCTTTGCGTAAAGTACCGACCTCCTCACGCAAGGCATTGACCTCATCACGTAACTCCCCTAACTCATCCCGTTGAGGTGGAGGTGGAGAACAGGGAGATAAACGTCGTGACATCTTTGTCGGTTGCCTATCTTGCGGTGATGGTAGAGAAGAGGCTCGATGATGTGACAGAATAGGTGATGGCTGTCGTTGTGGAGGTGTATAGCCGGGTCGATCAGATGATGGCTCTGGGTGAGGTGATAGCTCTGGGCGAGGTGATGGCTCCCGAAGTGGAGGCTGTTCATCAACCGTTCCATCAAAAAAACGCTTACTATCTTGCCACCAATCAGTGGCAAGCTCAGCTTCCGTGGGTGTCAGCCTCTGTAGAGGAGTGTTGGCCTCCTAACAATATAAAAGCTCAAACAAAGTTAAACGTGTACTAGTAATAACTTGTTTATAAACATATGGTAGTATTTATGTTAACTTACATTATTTATTGTCGTATACCGTAGTAAATCTTCCCATTGCAAGGTCCGTTTCCTCTTCCAGGAAATAGCCCTGGGAATATTATTTGAAGTTTTTATTGCATATGTCTTCATGGCGGGAAAGACCTCAAATATCCAAATCTACAAACAATATAATAACAAACATTAGTAATTGTTAAATAATTACTTATAATTTTGGAAACATTATATAAAAATTCTTACCTTAAAGGCCCAAATAAAGCCTGTCAAAGTGTATTTGGAACCATCGCCATGCAAACTTTTTCGATCATCCAAGGCAGATGATAACTTATTCCATGTAGCTTTCCATAAATACGAGCCCCACGAAAACAGGTTCCACGCATTTAGGTCTTCTACCAATTTGATTAGATCATTTGGAATAGGTTGTCTGGCCTCTCTGCCTAAAAAGCCGGCATGCAAAAGAATTAGAAGGCATACTTGGACAACGTTGACGTCATCCATCCGAGTAAAACCATCTTTCTTATTCAATAATATCGTCAGGTCTTCCACGTGTAGATTCGGCCTCTCCAGCTCAGGAAAAACCCGGGATAACCATGATGGGCGGGTAATGTGTCTAGTGTACCGACCTACATCATCGTGTCCGAAGCGTAGACCGGTGATTAAGCAAAACTCCTCCCTCCCAAAACACGTATACGCCGGTGGAAAATCAAACCATATCTCTTCATCACGACGTTGTACAATATCTGGTAGATCCCTAGTCATGGTTTGAAGAAATAGGTGTGTCAACATCGCATCTCCACCGGGATGTTGTACTTTCAGCCATGGCCCGAAGCAAGTATCCTCAAACATTTTTCTTTGTGCAGGTGAAAGCTTCGACGCAATTGTTTTGGCCAGGCTGACTTTATTTCTTAAGGTTAATTAAGCCGAATAAAAGTTCTACAAAAACAATAAACATACTAAGTTAGATATACCAAAAACTACACTGTGAAGATATACCAAAAATAATAATAAACATAAAGAGTAGTAGTTTATTCTTCAAACTTAAATTTGCAACACTGTGAATTTCTTATTTGTCTTTGTTTTTTGGTTGAAGTAATGCAATTCATTCAAGTTTCAATTTGCAGAAGAATAATAGTTTCTGAAAATGAAAATCGCAACACGAAAATGACTATCGCAACGCGAATTTGACTATCGCAACGCGAAACTAAAATCGCGTTGCGATTTTCATTTCGCGTTGCGATTCTCGGTTGATTTAATAAGCAATCTAAGTGAAATGGTTAATCTATTATTGAAATTACCAGTAAACTTATCATCAATTTCAATATGAAAAACCTAATAATAATGCAAAAATTTCAAAAAGAAAATAATTAAAAAAACTAACCCTCGTTGGTTGATTTGGTTGATTTTCCATTTCTGATTGTGAGGGTGACTCTGAGAGATGGAGATAGACGGATTTCGCCGGAGATGAGGACGGATTTCGTCGGAGATGGGTGAGAGAGTGAGAGATGGAGATGGGACTGAGTTGTGATTTTAGGTTTTAGGTTATGAGTTGCGATTACGGGATATACTGTGGACGGTTCAGTGTTCCAATATATTAATATTCGTGTTTGGAATTTAAAAATAAAATACTTGGCCAGGATACTAATGGCGCTTTGAAAATCGCATTGCGATTATGTATTATCGCGTTGCGAAAGTCAGAATCGCGTTGCGAAAGTCAGTATCTCGTTGCGATTTTGTATTATCGCATTGCGATAGTAAGTATCGCATTACGATAGTCATTATCGCATTGCGATTTTTCCAATTCGCGTTGCGATTTACTTATTCGCATTGCGAATTGGGAAAATCGCAACGACATTGTAGACCATCGCAACGCGATTTCCAACTATCGCAACGCGAAATGCAACGCGAATTTGCGATAATGGAGATCGCGTTGCGAATTAGCGATCGCATTGCGATTTTATTGGTCATTTTGACAAATCCGAAAAAAGTTAGTTAAAATCGTATATTATAAGGCATTTTTAGTCTGAGACGATTTTCTCATTTATAAATACAAGGAAGGGCAGAAGTGTAAACACAAGCTTCACCGAGGGCAGTCTGTCAGTGAAAAGCGTCCCATGCAGTTAAAAAGTTGTCTTTAGAAAGCTTTTAATTAACAGGACGGAGTAAAGATTGGAACTTTTAAAATCCCAATGAATAAATATATATAAATCGACCCAAAATTTCTGTCTTCTATCGATTTCGTAACATATATCTCTTCGATTCGAGTAAGGGAAATTTTTTTCCTATATTTTTGGTAAAGCTTTTTTTTGTATCTTTCACTTATATGAACTCTTAGCTCTTTTATTTTCTTCTTCTTCTTTATAATTTTGTTTGGTTGAAATTAGATGTCAAGAAAGGGATTATTTTTATGATTAAAATTGAATATTGTGTGTACTTATTTTGCATGAGACAGGAATCGCCGGGTTCGATTTTGTTTGACAAGATCGGCCTGATTAGAATTTCAGGTAAGGAGTTTTCTGCCTTTTTCCCCTTTTTTTTAAAAAAAAGTTAATTCTTTGAGGTTTTTAAAAAAAAGAACTTTGAGAATTTAGTTTTCTTTTTATTTGATTATGCTTGATTTGGCTCAATTGGGTGTTTAGGGTTTTTGCTTAAAGTTTTCAACTTTTTCTTTTGAGTTTCGAAGAGCGACTGGAAATTAATTTGCCGTTTCTGTTTGCTTTCTGAGAATTTTTAGCGTCAATTAAAGATCAATTTATATATTTTAATTTTGAGCTAGTGGACACTGGATTAATTGCTTACTTCTGAGACTAATCATAATACCATATTCATAAAAATGATGATTTTTTTTAAAATGTTTTGTAAGGAAGGTGTAGAGGAATATCCTTAGTTTAATTATCCACAATTGAACTAGTTTTCTCCATTGCGATTGGGCAGTTAGCTTAATTCTGCATAATTGAACATTCCTATGTCCGGCACATTCCCCCCCCCCCCCGATTGTTATTGTTGTCAGCTGAGGTTGTATTGTCTTTTTAAAGGTTCTGTTGTAAGTAAACTTTTTTTTTTGATAGGACTGTTGTAAGTAAACTAATTATCTGCGTCATCTTAGATCACTGCAATTAAGAATGAGAGTTATGTCTGGTGTAAGGTTGATTGATGAATCATGATGGAGATAATTAATCCTAGGTACTACTTCTTGTCAAGTGAATCGGTCATTTACATGCTTAATATGTGTTCATGTCCTCTTGGTCTGTAAATTGGCATACTTGTTTCCATCTGACATTTATTGATATCCAAGTAAATTGATCATTTACATGCTTAATATGTGTTCGTGTCCTCTTGGTCTGTAAATTGACATACTTGTTTCCATCTGACATTTATTGATATCCAACTTTAGGAGTTGAATGGCTTGTGGTTCTTCCCCTTATTTTTCATATTTTCATGTGTTCATCATTTTGGGTCATTGACGTAAGGTGGTTTAGGTGCAGGAGGGTAGAGAAGATGGACTCTCGTGATAAGACGGGGCACCAAGCTCCAGAAGGACCCATCCTGTGTGTCAATAACTGTGGTTTCTTTGGAAGTGAAGCTACGATGAATATGTGCTCCAAGTGTCACAAGGCAATGATCCTGAAGCAGGAGCAGGTGCAAGTGCAACTCGTAGCATCATCCATTGGAAGCATTGTCAATGGCAGCTCTAGTGGAAACGGTAAGGAACCATCTATGGCCACTGCTGCTGCTTTAGCTGTACAATCAGGAAATTTTGGGTCAAAGATTGAATCATCCATCGATCCTTCCCTTATGACCTTCAGTGGAATGAAAACAAAAGAGGGTCCCAACAGGTGTACTGCATGTAGCAAGCATGTCGGTTTGACAGGATTTAACTGCAGGTGAGGAAACATCTTCTGCGCAGCTCATCGATACTCCAACAGACACAACTGTCCTTTCGACTACAGGACTGCTGCTCAAGATGCTATTGCTAAAGCCAACCCTGTAGTCAGGGGAGAGAAGCTCGATAAAATTTAAGAGTCGAGGACGAAGATGAAGATTTGTGTAATGAAATATGATGTTTCGCCTTGTACCCATTTGTGTCATCAGCTCAATCATAGCGAAGGTTAATGTTAAGCTGGGTGCTGTCTCAATGTGTCCCCTTGATTGATTATAAAGAGTTGCAAAGTCCATGATGGGGAGGACATCGTTGCAGTGTAAGGAAAGTCTGTATTCCTAGTCAACTGGTTGGCAGTGGTTCGCCCCGGTTTGTCAGTCTTTATTTTGTGCTGGTTTGATGGTACATCGACATGATTACGTTGTAATACTTCCATCTTATATGTTTTTCTTCCACCAGTGTTGAGAAAATCGGACCATTTAGAGGTCGAGGCCAGGCTCTTGGTTCTTGATTGAACTGATTTATAGTAGTTTAATCATAGTTTTTTCTACGGTTTTACGACACGAATCAATTAATCTCGTGACCGAAGACTCTAGTTAGTAATAGTATTTATATAGTACAAGATATATTCAATCAAGTCATGAGAAATCAAAGGTTTCCAATGGACTCGGGTAAATTGAAGACATGGAAACCTAGTGATAAATGGCGAGGCCTCTCCTCTATTTCCTGATAATTTCTAATATTCGAAATATATATACAATACTAGCTACCATTAAAGCAATTTTTCCATAAATCTAACTCTTTGAACTTCTTCAGATAATTCATAGCTCCATCTTCAGTTGATTTGCTTGCAATGTTGCTGCACCGAAGTTGCAACAGACGAAGTTGCAACAGAAGTTAATTCTTGTTCAGTTTACTTGACGTTGGAAGAAAGATATAACTCAACATACTAATCGAAAAGTTATGACTACTATAGAACCTGACCGTTTGAAGTAAGGGAAACTTGGATAGCAATCTACCTGAATTTGCAGAGGAGCCGTAAGTTAAAAGTGAGTTTTCTGGTGTAATGTAATTATTGCAGACTTCTCTTCCCCAAACAGGCTGCTGAAGTGCATCGACATTCCATTGGTGTTGATACTGTTGTCTGTTTCCATCGCCTTGAATCTCAGGCCACATTGCAGGCATAACCAAGCCGGGGATGTTGCTATCCATTAGAGATCCACTCTACACATGTTAAAGATGGTCAGACATGTTAGTAGAAGCTATTATCCTGTCATCAGAAGAGAAACTAGATGGACTACCGTGTAAATGAAACATCGTATAGGTACTTATTCTCAACATTATCTACTACGTGATTAATTTAAAATCTTCTCTGATAACCAGTTTACATGATAAGTGCTAAAATGGAGTATGCAAGTCATTTAGTACAAAAAGGTAATTTACTTTAACATGTTCTGCTAAGTAGCATTGCATGTCGTTTGAGACCCATGAATTTCAATAATTTCTTGCGATCAGTGGCCTTCGTGTATGGACCCACTCTTCCATAAAAATGATACAGCTTCATTCAGCTGACTGGCAGCCATTGTTCCCGTTCAAACATTAATGAACGGGTAGCTGGAAGATGGTGGTCCAGACATGATCAACTGTCCACTAAATATTAATGAGGACCAGTCTTTTAAGAAAATGGGTCGGAATCCAGTGCAAGAGCCATACAATAAAGTGTTATACCAGATGCGCTTTACCCATCTACAGAACAAGCTCATAACCAAAGTTGAACATGAATGAGAAAAATCTCCAGAAGAACTTTCGGGTTCCAACTTACTTCTGATGTGAATACACTATCAAGGTTGAAATCAATTCTTGGGTTCACTGCTGCAAGTCTCATTGATAAGAACTGCAACCAAAGAAAAAATGATACAAGAATGAGACCACGGGAATGGAAGATACTGCAAGTAAAACCACAGCAAAAAAATACAACAAAACATGTCAACCTAGTGGGATCTTTGCAAAATTTTCATGTATTCTTGGGAGGCAATGCAAATAATTCCATTTAATCAGCAAAGGATGTTAACAATAAGAACAAGAGAAAAATCTACACTGTAAGGGTTGCAGAACAGAAAAAACACCGACAGCAAGGGCCCTCCTACACAACAGTGAAACCCACATAAAACTTTTGGTAAATGTCATATTGGTTAATCCCAGGCCACCTAGATCTTCATGATCATTTGAAGGTAATTTTGTTAAACACAGAGACATTAAAATATTCTAAAACCCATGTGATATTTAAAAAAAATTGGGGTAGAAGATTTAATGGCTCATCCAAGGGCCAAGTCCTGTGTCTTACCCTACACCCTATCAGTCCAATTGCGTTGCTTAAGAAGATGTCTTGAATTCATATTAAACCTTCTCATGTTGAAGGGAAAAGGAAAGTCCAAAGCATGAAATGCGCTATTCTTACCTCCACTTGCCGTTGTAGAGATTGCACATGATTGATGATTTCATCCAACACCAAGGCTGTACCTGAAATCTGCAGCACACGTATTTAATATAAAGGTATGTGTTCTGAAGAAATTTAAACTATCTTCCTGAACCTAATGCTTTGGAAAACAAACGTGTAGTAATCAAAGCTCTTGATACAGGTTCCAGATTTAATGTAAAGATCCCACCTAGAGTCTGATTGTTTGAAAATTAGGGCTTCAACCACATACTTCCTCCTTAACAGATTTAAAGCTAAATGAGTGCCTATTGATGTCCACTCTCCCGAAGGATGCAATGTAAATGCATCAATTTAGAAGCAATAAAGTCAACAATTTTCCCCCAACAATTAAGCATCTCTCACCCTGTCAACCATTAAGGAAACCATGACTTCCGTCCCCAGAAAAAGATGGTTGTTCACAGGTTTGATCACCTAGTCTTCTCTGAATTGTGGTCACTTGATGAGCGGACTCGGAGCTGATTTCACTTGTTAAAGTGGTATTGTGAAATGTTAAGGGATAAATCAAGATTATATTTTGAACAATAAAAACAATATGACATGGACTATCACATCAATCCCCCATATAGTTAGGTACAGGGATGGATCGAGAGGGGTTGGCGGAGGCAATCGTCTTCTTAAAAATTTTAAATTATCTTATAATTTAAGTATTTCTGTTAATAATCTATTTTCGTCACTTAAAATTTTATAAATTTATCCCAAATATAAAATGTTGAGTTCATCTCTTGACCTAAGCTGGCATTTGGCATATAAAAAGCCATTCTCTTTTGTCATCCTTCGCCTACTTATCCCATAGTGGATTGATACACAACTTGTACGAGAAGTAAGCAGGCACTCTACATCAATGAAATGGGACCCCATAAAGACATTTAATCCAACAAAACCACTAGACATGTCTACTGAGCACTTCATGGTAATGTCCAGCTAGCATTCCCACATGAATAAAATTTTCTTCCACAGTCATCAAAGGCTACACTTTTCATTTTTTATTTTACTATAACCCATATACAAACTACCGCAATAAAATTTAAAACTTGAAAATCTAGCTTCCACCAAAACAGCAATAAAATTGCTTCGAAAAGACAAACTTGACCTCAAAAGGGACTTCTAACAAACTCTCCCCATAATGGGAAAACAGCTAAAATGTTAAATCAGCTCGGGATATAAAAAAGAGAATTACTACTTTTTTGTGCAAAAGGTGACAATGACAAACCGTTACTAAAGAAAAATGATCCAAAAATGTAATCTCACTTTATATAAGGATATGTATTTTGTAATAATAAGGTATTATAAAATAGTATAGGTTTAGATAATAATTATAAAATAATATATGTTTAGATAATGATTATAAAATAATATATATTTAGAATATTTATGTGATAACGTACAATATCTGTAATATTGTAGAATCTTTAAGGAAAAGAATACTATATAACGGATACATTATTAATATAATCACAAATCAAAATCAAATCATTAATCAACCAATGAAACTTACCTTATTACATCCAGGTACCAGCTCCTGTAGGAACTTCATTCGTGCATTAATCTTCTCTCTTCTTGCCTGTATTAAACTCCAAAAATATTAGATTAATAAAAAAAATGAGAACAAAACTATATCAAGGAAAACTTATTAAGAAGTCATTTAGTCAATCATGGATATTGATGAATTATATTACCCTCTCTGCTAAGCTATGACTATCCGTTGCTTGTCCCCGGCGTGCTCTAACGTGGACGTAAGGCAGCTTCTCGGCGTCCTCTGAGCTCTCGTTCACAGCTGTTTTGCTTTTCTTTCTAGACCCTTTAACCTATGAAGGCTCAGAAAACAAATTAATCAAAATTTTACCAAAATAAAAAGGAAAGCCTCGGTTGAGATTTTCTCTTGTTTTTGGTTTTTCCACCTTATTTTCTCTGTCCTTTCTCTTGATAGTCCGCTTGTCTACCGTTGGATCGGAGACCAACGGCTGGGATGATTCGGTCTCCGCCGGCTCACTCTTTACCGCCTTCTCAAGATTCGCGCTTAAGTTTTTCGACTCAGGCGAGTGCCTCTTCTCATTGCTGTTGTTAGCTTCTCCAGAAAACACGGAAAACCTCGCATCTGGTTCAGTCAAACCAGTATTAGAAGGAAAACGGAAGCTGCCTTTGAAATCTTCAACGTTCGGAAGCGAAGCAGCGATAAGCTTCATCGAGTCGGAAGAGTGAAGAAGCTCAATGGCTTGTGGAGGCGGTAGTTCAAGCAGAGCCGTCAAGGAACTAGCGTTATTAGTCGTCGGAGCTAAAATCAAACGGTGGATTTCGTCGGTGAATTGGAGGGATTCGAATGACGTAACTTGTCCCCCACCCGACGCCGTTAAATTAGATCTGGTCTCCGTCGTCCCTGGGTTTGACTTCATGGGTGAAAGATAAGATAAGAAGTACCCAAACTCGAATTTCGAAAGAAAAACAAGTAGCCAGCTCAATGTTCTCGAGAATAAAATGTACCCACTTGGTTAATTCAACCCAATTCAGAGCTTCAAAATAAGCTTTGGTTTGCTTCTTCAATGGCAGCAAGGTCAAGCTTAGAAGAAGAAGAAGAAGAAGAAAAGAGCTTAAATGTGTTTTGAGAGAGAGTTTGTTGCTCTGCAAAAGAGGTTACTTCTCAGTCATTTGAAGTACAGGGAAAGCAACGTTGCAGCCTTGCAGGGGCCGTTTGGTTTATTATTTTAAGACATCTTACAGTGAAATTTTAGGGTTCTACTTTACGGTTCGTTGAAATTAAGAGAAACAGTGTTTGTTGCGGTACGGTGACGGCCCCACCAGATTTTCTTTTCTTTTTCCATAAATTTTCATTTTATAATTAAATTCTAACAAAAATTAAATTAAATTACTGAATCCAGGAAAACTCTATATAAATTATTTAGTACTTAATTTTTTAAAATTTAGAATTGAATGTTTATAATTTAAAATTTAAAGATTCAAATTTTAAATTCTAGATTCTAAAATTTAATTTATATAAAAAGTAGAGTTATGATTTAAAAGCATATTTTTTAATGAATTTTATAATTATTTTTGGGTTTTGACTTTTTTAGTAATTTATTTTCTAATTATTCGTTTAACGTTCAGTCGTAGTATATAATAATATTTTTTTGATTTGGCAATGATTAAAGAAAACACTGTTAATCTTATAAATTAATGTTTTTTTGCGCTTCGACCTCCAACGCACCTGCACTTGTCAGAATTCATAGTTTTCTAAAACCTAAGAAATATGGGTAAACTACATAAAATTGTCCCTCGACTCTGACTATAACATGATATTTTATTTAGTTATTTAAGTATTAAAATTTATAAAATGATCTGATAACTATATGATATTGTTTTGTTGAGTTATTCAACTATTAAAAGTTATAAAATTATCAATTGACTATTCATATCTTCCAAACTCATCATTTTCTGTTAAAAATTTTATCGTTGTCTAAGCTGAACGTTAACATGTTGACTGAGATATAATAAAATCTGATCTCAAAATTATTTAAGTTATATTTTGTGGATTAATTCTTTGTTTACATCATGCCGTCGAGCTAGTGCTTCAAAGTAATGATGGTGTCGGTAAACATTATTAAAAATATGTTTTTATCATATTTCAGTCGATAGGTTAACGTCTAGCTCAGACAATCATCTAATTTTTAAAGAAAATGATGAGTTTAAAACATATGAATAATTGAGTGACCATTTTGTAACTTTTAATAGTTGGAGGACTCAACAAAGTAGCGTTCTATAGTCGAGGGATCATTTATGTACTTTACCCAAAACTATTAGGGTAAACTACAAGTTTAGTACCTAAACTATTGCTTTTGTTTCGTTTTGGTAATCAAACTTTATTTTCTTCCAAAACATACCTAACTTTTAGTTTAAGTTTCATTTTGGTACCCCGCCATTAAAAATTTAACGATGATGTTGAAGTGTTACCATAAAATAATATCACGTTAGCAATTATATTAATTCTTTAATGACGGATACTAAATTTAATCCTAAACTGGATAATAGGTTTGATTTTAAAAAATAAAGTTTAGATATCAAAACGGAATAAAAAATAATAGTTTAGATGTTAAATGTGTATTTTATCCAAATTATTATCACCACTTGTCACAAATTTATGTAAAAGAATAATTATTTAATAAGTAAACACATATGAAATGATGAATAATTTATATATAAATTTCTTGATTGATTTATTTGTTTTTTTAAATAATAGCTTTATATTTTTGAAAATAACAATACTTTTTCTAAAATAATTTTTTTTTTTAAAAACTGAATTGATATTTAATTAATCTGTGATATAAGTATAACTAAAATTTTAATATCTATTATATATAAACTATCATTTTAATTCCCTTTGTTTTAGTTTGGTTCAATATTATCATAGTATTCATTTTATTTTATTATGTAAATAGAAGCAACTAGTTTTACTAAAAAAAGATAAAATTTAATATTATAATAAACATATAATTAGGACATAACCTTATAATTATTAATATAAGAAACTAGTCACTTGAGATCATATAATAACCATACAAAAAAAAGTTAAAAACTCATATAGAAACTCAAACAAAATATATATAAAAACATATTTGACTACATCAACAAACAAACCACAATAAGGGATCAAACTATTGAAAGATCACTGACAATCATAAATCAAAGTCGAGCGTCGCGAGAAAACTATTTTCGTACGTAAATCGTGTATCCAAATTTAATATAAAGGTTCAAAGTATGAAAGATCTACATGATAACAAATAAGCGTAATCTTTACCAGTCGAAGCATCTTCAAATCCAACATTAAGAAAATTAAACGAAAAAATGATCAAACGACTGAAAACATACTAAAAACATAGAAATATGTCACAAAAATAGACAAAAATATGTCATAAAGATATAATTATTGAAAATTTAAAAAGTGAAACAAGTAAAAACAAAATACGAAAAAAAATACAAACAATTATCGATAAATATCAAGGTTGATACCGTAATCTACCAAATAAAAAAAAAGAATAATATTTTACATGCATGATTTTGAATTAGTAGAAATTCACGCCTCTAGTATTCCTTTCATTTTAATTCCTTTCTGAATGTTGAGATATTGTAATATTTTCATAAACATAGACTATATATTATTTCACTTATCATGTCAGTAATTTATTTTAGAAGTCAATTAAACCTATAATATTTTATATAGAAATATTAGTTTAGTCTTGATTAATATCAAGTTTTAAACTTAATTTCATATATAGAAATTATTTTCCTTTGTTAAAGTTTATTATTTTAAATAAAATAAGGATACTGACAGTAAAAGTTTGCCAAATTATTTTTTATTATTATATACTACAAATCATTATTTTATTGTGTTATTAAATGAGATAGTAAATAGGTCCCGCGTGACAGGGGAATGCCACTAGCCAACAGCCAAGGTCCAAGCTCCGACACATTTTATCGAATAAGATGAATCGTCATCTTCTAGCATTTACTTATAACCACTGCTGCAATGAATATAAAAATAATAATAATAAAAATAATTTATATCTATACCCCTTTTCCAAAATTTTTGTGAATGTTTAAATGGGTAAAATTGTCAAGACAATGATGTGGGAATATAGTAATTCTCAAAGATGCCGAAAACATTGTACGTTTTCAGCAAGATATAGAAATTACGATGTATCTTCCTTCTTTTGAGAAAAACGCATGGAAGAAATAGAGACAAAACCATGCGGGGGTGTAGGAGGAAGATTAGAGGTTTGTATATGGGTTACGGCCCGTGGACTACTCGTTTAACCCATAGCCCGTGTGGGGTTTGGACATCAAAAATTGAAGCTCGTTTAAATTACGGATTTTTTTAAACTCATGGGTTTAATGGATATAACCACGGGTAGCTCGCGAATCCCGCAATAGCTTTATAAAATTTTAGAGAAAATAAACTTAAAGAATTTTATAGAAAAAGAAAATAAATTACCTATAAATATGATGTTACTTATAACCATTGTAGTTCTTAAATTTATTAGGGAATTTGTCATAATTCTACCGTTGCTTGATTTTTTTTTTCATTTACAATGTATCAAATTATTCTTCATTTTAAAAAATAAAAGTTAAAAGATTTATATAGTATTTTAGTCTTATAAAATTTACATCATCATCATTTTGGTATTTAAAGATTTTTTATTTAATTTTAACTTTTATTTTTTTCATGAAGTATGTTATCCATTTCGTTCTTTAATTATAAAAAGTCACGTGATATTCTAATAATATATTACATGACACATAATATTTGGATTAAAAATAAGAAAGAAAATTAAAAGAAAAAATTGAAAACATAATTTTCAACTTTTAAAGGCTTTTATAAAAGAAAAATTGTTAGATTTGTATAATGTTTGACTTTGTTGAATTTTTCTGTTTGAATTTCTGCTTGCAGACACTTCTGTGTATTCATATTATAGTCTTGAATAATCGTGTTTTATAAAAGTATAATGTGATTATTGTTTTATTTATTTTTCAATTTGGTGATATAAGTGAATATTGTTTTTTTTAATTTGAGTTTAAGTAATTATATTGTTATACATATTAATGATTAAAAAAATAAAAAAAATATTATTTTATAATTATTTCCGTCTATTTAAAATAAAATTTAAATATTATTTATTATTTTGACGGTGTTATCTTTCTTTTCAAGTTACTATATCATTTTTAAAGGTGTAGCAAATTCGAACATTATTTTTTATTGCATTTAAAGCATTTAAAATTATTTTTATTTAACGGGCCGCAGGTAAGCCCGTTTAACCCATGGGTTAAATGGACGGGCCACGGACCTTAAAATTCAAAACCGTTTATGATTGCAGGCTTTTTAAACCGTTCCGTTTAAGCCCGCACCGTCAAAACCCGCGGGCTAAACTGGCGGGTAGCCCGTATACCCACCTCTAAGGAAGATACATGTGTGCGTGTGTATGTATTTTATATAAGTATAGAAAATCGTTTAAATTGTAATCAAATAGTATGATAATATTATAAATATTTATAATTAAATTTAAATAAAATCTCGAACAATTCAATTCGATTTGACTCGAAATTTATAAACTTGGCTCGTAAAATTTCAAATAAAATTAAATTTATAATTAAGAATTATCAACTCGAATAACTCAAATTTATTTTACTTAACTCGATCGAACACTCGTATCTAATAACTGCGTTGCATCCTTGCAGTTGGAATAGTGGATGGTTACATCATGGGTTATCCAATAATTAAGGGATGACTGTCCTTTAGGGTTCAACAAAGAACACAATGTCCTTCACATTTTGCTAAAACCATTAAACAAAATCGTAGAACAGAGCAGACAATCATGTATCAGGCACCAAACACTTCCAAGTCAACCAATTGCATAGTACAATCCCCACCCCTTACCATTGTTTCCCACACCGTAATTTCTTTTTCTGTTTTATTTAAATTTAAGATGTGCTTCTTAAAACTATTACTCCCTTCATTTCTATCGGATCTTAATTAATCATGATTCGATATTACAAATATATTAAAATCTCATCTACAAATCAATTATTTTTCTAATCTTTATAACAGTAGCATTTTTTATTACAGTAACATATTTATTATAATAGCATTGTGATTTTTTTTATTTACATTTGATTACGAATCTAAATA